AAATAATTGTATTACAGTTTTACTAAAAATGACTAAATAAATAGTCGAAACGTTTAACTTATCTGCAACATTGTTTTTTACTGCACAACATCCTGCAACATTGGTTCGGGCTAGCCCAGTCAATACACACATTTGATTTTATCCACTTGAACCTGAGGACAACCCTCACCATTTGACATTGATAATATTTTTACTTTCGATTGACTACAAAGTTTTTACGTATGTCCACTGAAAGCTGCTATAACGTCGAATTAAGTACAGTTAAGCTACCGTATTCGATATTACATACACAAAGGCACATAAATTGTAATGTAACCAATAATTTGTGTGTATTTTTATTTTCATTATTTATTTATAAATACTATGTTATCTTTTTTCACACTTCGGAAAAGATGGTCTATTTTTTTAAAAAAAGATATATATGATTATATATGTTTTTTTCTGTAGTATAATCTACAATATATTTAATCATCGAAATAAAAATGGTTTTGTTACTAATTGTTTTTATAGTTTATCTGAAGTTGCGTTTTATTTACAAAATACTAATTAAATAAAAACTTAAAAAAATACTATGCATGAAGACATTAACAGCAATTTGTAATTATTTTTTACAATAAATATATCGTATTTAACACATAAATAGTAAATATATAAGTAAAGTACATAATAATAAAGTTTAATTATATCTTTGACAAAAAGACATGTATGGTCATCTTTCCCTTAAAAGTTGGGTAAGATGGCCACTGCATAGAGTAATATTTTATATAATATTAAATTTCTGTTAAGTGTTTTCTTTTTACTCTCGATAATTATTATTACTTTAAGTTTCAGTAAAGTAAAATAAATTAACAATATTACAAAATAACAAAAATAAAGGTTTGTTTTTCGCATTTAAAGAAAACTTTGGCCATCTTACCCGGGTTTACGTTACGCACCTGTACATCAGGCAAACATCCCAACACGCACAGTGCGAAACTAGAACCAGCCGCTGTAGTGTCGTGCCCCTGTAATATGACAATTAACGCATTGTATTAACAACTACTGATGCTATTAACGTAATGAGCATAAGTTTTTAGTAAAAGAGAAAAAGTGAAATTGGGAAGATGAATTATAAGAAGATTAATTGTGAGATATTGATATTTGCTCAAATACTATCACACCTCAAACATGATGGTGTTCACTTCTTCCCAGATTTCTTCGTCAGTCATCAGTCCACCTTGCTGTTTCATGGTAATTAACGTTTCCAGAAAGGCAAGTCGCTTTTTGTCGCCCACATCGTTTTCGTCGATGTCATCAAGATCGTCCTTAACGTAGTGCAACTTTGTGTAATTAGAGGTATCGCTTTTCGCTTTTTCCGTCGGCTTCTTGTTTTGCTGGGTTTCCTTCTGCTCCGTCGCAAGTTTCTCTTTGACATCTTCCGATTTCACTTTGATCACGGTATTTGTTACCGCGTGAACGATTTTAAGGAGTTTCTTTTGAAGACGGTAATACTTAGTTAACTTGAATGCCACCAAACACCATATGTCATAATGTCTTCGATGTATAATATCGGACAATCTGTATAATTGAAACACATTTTTACGCAAGAAATGTATATTTTACGGTTGTCTTATATATATATAATAAATACAAAGATACTGATACAAGACAGGAATATTTGTTTGCTACAATTTTAAAGAAACAAACTATAACTCACTTCATTACAGCCATAGCATAATCATATCCGGATTTTGGCCGTTTTTCTCGTTTAACTCCCATTACCGTTTCGGTTAAAATATCAACTGTTACTGCCGACAAATAATCATGACAATCAAAGTCTTTTCCGATTTTATCGCGAAGCCGTCTTACGAGTTCTATGCTGTTCTCGTAAAACAAAGGCACGAAGGACTTCAAGATACTTATGTGAAACGTAGGTGCTATCACCTTTCTGTGCCTGTACCACTTTTTTCCACTTGTAATCAGCAAACCATCGCCAAGCCATGGTTGAAAAAATCTGCAGTAGAAAGTTTAAGCGGATTCTCGGTATGACGCAAGAGAATATCAACAACAAGATTAAATATGAAAATATCAATGTAGTAATTAGGTAACGGCTCCAAATATTAAATACTTCTGAAAATGAAAGATAGACCGATCGAATCCAAACACAATTGTTAGTGTGTACAGTTGAATTGAGAATTTATTATTATTACCTAATTATAAACGTACTAATACTTTACATCTGACACTTCAACGCGCGGTTGACCACCACAAGTTTAAGCTTCCTTTGACATCGTTTATATTTACTGATTTCTGACTTATTTATTGAGAAAAACCGAAACCACAATCAAAACGTTTGTAATTAGCTAATAATATTAATTTTCAATGCAACTACACTCCAATATCCGTCCAATCGTGTTTGGATTTCAATCGGCCTATCTTTCACCTTCAAAATTATTAAATATGAAACTTTATATATAAAACTAACGTGTGGAGTAGTTTTTTAATTGTATTTGAACCATTCTTTTATTACCGATATTCCACAGATTTGTCGAGATGCACGGAACTGCCTAAGATCAATTCGATATCTTGCGGGTGTCCTAAAAATACCAGCACTTTTGTTCCAAAATACACTCTTCCTACCAATCCGTATTGTTTGTGATATTTGATAGCAAGTTTGTACATAGAATGAGGATCCTGTCCTATACCCAAATATGCGTTACCTATTAAAGGTAGACTTAGCGGACCTGACATTAACGAAACAAAATTTAAACGACGTATAAATAAAATATCATCAGAAAAAAGTTAAACAAGCAGTCGTATTGTGCGCACATACCTGGTAACTTGTTTGCAATACGAACTTGTCGAGAATTCTCGATGTAAAGATGCGTTGCAATCAGCGACGTAACGACGAAGATAGCTAGCAGAGAATAAGTATTAGATAAATGCAGCACCGTTTCAAAAATCGTATCCATTGCTGTTGTACAAATTAGTGCACTATTTTGTAACAACAAAACATTTTAATCTTTGGTCTCACTGTATAATTTATATTGAATAAAAATTATAAAAGTATACAAAAGTTACGTACGTAATGGTATGTTTGTTATCTGAAGTTATATTCGTTACACATGAAAAATGTTCTGTTACGTCGCGACGAGTCTTTTTCGTCTGGTAAACAGAGAATGCAGAACAATATTTCTCTTCATATTCACTTTTATATGCTTGAATAAAAGAAAATGATTGTGCGTTTTTATGTAAATTTGCATAGTAGTTTAAACGGTAATGTTTATATACAATCGTTGATTAGTGTAACGTAGTGACTTCAGAAACGCGCATTTACGTCAAAATTGCAAATAATTTAAAATTAAAATAACGTGAAACACAGAAAACATAGAAACTGTAGAAAAACTAAAACTTGTTCGCAAGCGATTTACGATAAAATACACAAAATTTTAACGTTGTCGTAGTTTTTTTTTCAATAAAAGAATAAAATAAAATAATTACTTATTATATATTTTTATATCGTCGCTTGTCTTTAAATTTCATTGTTACGTTCCGATAATATAATCACTGACATATCTGGCCGATTATCATCGTCGGTTTTTTATGGATAACACAACACAATATTATTCAATATTACTAGAAAAATCGATTTTTCCACGTTGGAAAAAAACATACATATACCGAATTTATAATTTATTTATTATTTCATCTTTTCATACTGCGCACAAATATGCGCATACATTTGAATACATACCGCAGTTTTGTATACATATTTTATGTCGTATTAAGTGTGAAGAACGTTCTAGTTACATGATTGTTAAATCGTCGCGATTAGACATAGTGCCAGATCTTGAAAAAAACTCATTAATGAAAAATACTTTTTTCCGATAAACTTCGATTTGATATAACTATTTTTTGTGTGTGTATCGACTCATCAAAGAAAATACATGCAATCATAAATACACGAAAAACTTTGAGCTAACGTTATATCAGTTCAGGTTTGGAAGTTTTAAGAGATGGAGTATGATAAGATATGCTTCCTTCAGGCTTTCGAACATTACAGTTTGATAACATGTGTACACAATATTACACATGTAAAAATCATGTGGTTTTCTAAGATACAGATTACGTACTAGTTATACTCAGTAATCACATTATCAGGAAGAAGACTATAAGACTATTGTTTTGTAATAAATGTTTTTAACGTGCAACACGCGCTTTGCACTCGCATGACACTAATTTATACGAAGAGAAAAAAAGAAAGTTGCCTTTGAAATTTCTGTGCTCAAAAATGTAACCGTCACGTGTATTAAAATTTTCGATACAACAATAAAAAGAAAATACAGAAAAAGAAACATAATTAATTGTTTGCAACAGATTGTAAGCAACGGCACAGAGAAGATATTCGTCGCGATTTTAATTTGCAAGGCGCGCGGGTGAAAACGAAAAAAAGCTGGTGGATCTTGCGAAGGTTTGCTTTAAAACTGTCGCGTAAAATCGCTGACAAGATGCAGGGAGCTAGTGTTTGGTTGCCATTGAGTGTTTTTCGGCATTGCGCCGACATTGGCTTTCGATGTCTCGACGGATAGACGAGCTATCTTGACTAACGCCGCTTTCTAAGCGGATTTCTCTGTAAAATTAAGTAATCCCCAAAACGTTTGTAATTATAGAGAGTTGTAAATAGTAATAAATTCTTTTAATTATTCACACAACTACACACTAACAACCGTGTTTGGATCCTCCAATCGGCTTATCTTTTATTTTCAGAATTAAATAAAACTTGGTTTTCCACATAAGCATCACGTATTTTTTATATATTATTATTTTTAAACAATAAAAGATATTATTTTCTACAAAACCATATGTCTCGTACAAAAATCTACATATGATTACAATAACAAATGTTACGTCCTGAGCCTATGGTTACGGTCGGGCATTAGTAAGGCTGGATCCTCATACAGACACCGGCGCTTTGACACCGAGCGTTGATTGGTGAAAAGTGGGTAGTGGGAGTAAACGGCGCTAAAACACCGGAGCTGTCATGAGGATTGAGTTTTTCATGATTTTTTGGCGTTGAAGCGCCGAAATGTTTG